TTATATATATATATATATATATATATATATATATATATATAATATGATATAATATAATATGTAATACAATATTATAAATAGGCCTAACAGTAGGCATGTATGTGTGCGTGCGTGCGTACGTTCGTGCGTGTGTTTGGTGTATTGGTGTGTGTGTGTGTACGTATGCATGTATGTATGTATGTATGTATGTATGTATGTATGTATGGGTATGTATGTATGTATGTATGTATGTATGTATGTATGTATGTATGTATGTATGTATGTATGTATGTATGTATGTATGTATGTATGTATGTATGTATGTATGTATGTATGATACATACATACATACATACATACATACATACATACATACTATGTATGTATGTATGTATGTATGTATGTATGTATGTATGTATGTATGTATGTATCAGGAGTAGATAATAGGGAAGGAGTGTGACATCAATAAACAAGGGAAATTCGTCATTTACTAGCCTTAAAATACCTACAATTTACTACGCGTAACGCAACTAACTTGAGCTCAAATCGTATACAGTACATTCGCCTAGCATCGTGCGAAATCGTTTCCTCGTATACACCCGCAATCCGGAGATATAGACTAAAACGTTCGACACGATTTTCCATTCTGCCGAGGCGCGCCGAGGATTGACACTTTGTGTCTTCCAATCACAGCCTACGCCGCACTTCTCTATTATATTTTCAAAGGTGGGGACCCATTACAGCACCAAATCGCCGATCTCAAGAACTAGGGCATTCTGCTTGGCTAGAACGGTTTCCTACGATAGAGTTTGGCACAAAAACGTGACCAGTTCCTGTACCTACTGTCTTTCCCCAGCCTCTTTACTTTTCGTAAATAATGAAATGCCCGGCCGAGCATTTCGCATCGAAGCGGAAAATTTTCTGCATTTTCACTCGCTGTCGGAAGTGAACGAGTGCGTCATTTATTGAACAATTCAATAAAACACACCACACTGCACGACAGAGGATGGAATGTTTGGAGCCAATGTTTACATGCCACAGCGCCATCTCTTGGATATTTTATAAGTAAATATGGGGATTTTTAATAAAATAATGCGTTTTTAATGTATTTACCACGATTTACGTATAGAAACTATAATATGTTATTTTTACTAATTTCTCCGTATCTTTCCTTGGAGTATTCATCGTCTTTCAATGCCTTTCGGTAGATTTTTCTGCGTTTTCTGCGTGATTATTATTTTGCTCAGGCACTCATTTTGGAAATCCTCCAACATTTTTACTTCTTCCTTAGTTAAGTTAGTCCATGTTTCACTGTTATTTAGGAAAGAGGGTAAAACTGTGCATTCGTATAATTTCACTCTTGCTTCTATAGTATGATTTCCATAATTTTACTCTTCTGCCCATGATAATATTTTCCTCATCATGAACCTACATTTTTCAGGTCGGACTCTTATCATATCGTTATGACCTCTTATATCATTAATTAAATCCCCTAGGTATAAATATTTGGTGCATTTTTTGATTACTTGGTTGCCTATTAATATCTCCGTCTCTATCCTTTCTTTGTTTGTGAATTTTATAACCATTGTATTTGTTTTGTTTATATTAAATGCTAATCTTTTTGATTTAGCTAATCTGGAGCATAACTGAGCGATTTTTGTTACTGTTTTATAATCTCCAATTCCTAAAATATCGTCCATATATAATCATTGTTATCTTCTAAAACTACAGACCATCCGCTGACCGCTGTGGATACGTGCGCCGGGCCTCGAATTTGGCGCACGTCTTCACTGCGTACAGCGCTTCATACTTGAGCATCCCCGCGGTCGCGTGCGCATATCCCGCGGAACTGCGCGTCTCATCCGCGCGCAGCGCTTAGAATCAACAGCAAAGCTGTGCCACGCAATCTTGTATCATGTCTCTCTAAATTCGCTCCCGAAATTCATGTATAGCTAGATGTAGACAACGCCAATAACAGTCAAACCCGTTGGTTATGAGGAACGAACTTTTGCCGAAGACGATTGACTTTATTCACAGCTACAACCCATGTGTCAGCAAAATACTAAGTCTTAGGCACATACGGCATCCAATACTAGATCTCGGTTTTATTAATCTTATTTACTGTAGTGTTGGCCCGTGTAACGTTTTTTTACGTAAAGCCAAGCGCACACGTGGCGATAAAAATCGCCACGTGTGCGGGACCCGGCGACAATGCAACGATCTGTCAGCAACATACCACTGTATGAACTGATTCCGTCACCTGTTCAAAATGGAAGCGCCCATTGACACCACGATAGCCGTTCTTCAAGTTATTGGAATATATTTAATAATTTTTTTTTCTTATTCCTTACTCGTAATGTCGAAAAGACATGGGCGGTTCTGCCAGATTTCAACGAGTTCGTCCTCCCTCGTTCTCTCCCATACCACGGGCGCTGCCATATTTGATCACGTGCTTCAAATCATGCATTTGATTGGTTAATCCAAAAACTGTTGCCTGAATCCGTCACCAGTGCAGCGCACACGTTACACGCTCGTTACGCTGCGGCAATGCCCAGAGGTTATATCTTACTACCATACAAAGTTATAAGTATACAAACCACGTATATAATAGGTTACAAAATAGTACACCTGAACAAGTCATTATAATGAATATCACTGAACAGAATACTATTATTTGAACTACATCGTAACTGCTCGGTTGGGGTACATAATGACTGGAGACGGGCGACATACTAATTACAAGCCTATGCAAACTCTGATATGATTTGCTTTGCGACAACATTCATAGCTTCCCACGTCTCCTCACACGTTGGTTCAATCTGATTTTCCGGCAGCTCATAATTGTAGTAGCCAGTATCTCGTAACTCGACCGTGTAAACGTACTTTATCTTCGCAACACCCTTTGCCCAGTCACGTGATGTCCCGGTGGACTCATCTGCAATGACATTAATAGTAGCACTAGTAAGACTATATGTCGAAAGAACAGATAAAATTCAAGGCTGATTACACCCGGCCGCTGGTTTTGATATAAGAGGTACATATCTCATATAATTGCTAACCGTCGTTTGACCCTACATAATCCCTACGCACACGCGCGTGTATACGCACTTGCATATCACATGTTCTAGTGTATTAAAAATACAAATTTACAATAGCTCGACTAAGTTTGAGTATACACCATTGCAGGACGTCTTGTTTTTCTCGAAAAGTTAAGCAGTTGCAGTTTTGTTCTTATGCAATCCCATATTTTTCTGAATACTATTAGGAAAAAAACTATGAAAACATGTGCAATCTGTTAAACAATTACGCTTGGGCCTTTAAAATGTCGCATAACTATTTCGCATTATTTTCATTACATACACAAGATATTAGATGCCGTTCCGACTTGATACCTCGTACCATGCACTGCTGTCAAAGCGCTCGTTGCTCTCATCGCCAAATCGTACTAAAATCATTAAAACGCAATTGTTACTATACAAACATAGATTCACAACATTTGGTTTTGTGCTCGTGCGCAATGCATTTGTCGTGTACAAAACATCGTTTCGAATGCCACACCGCGCATTGTCATCAGAGCGGTTGTATATTTACCAATAAAAGTTCATACTAGACATACAACTCGTCAGAAAATTCTTTCCCAACACATGATCGTATAAAAAATGTATTTGCTATGTTGGTATAAACTTTTCTCGATTGCCTCAATACTACATTTGTACATTTTGCGAGTATTTTCCAAAAATGGTAATTTAATAATGACAGTAATAATTGACGCACCAAATCATCGTAGTCGGACGGCAAGCCCGTAGTGTAGCCCCACGGTATAAGCCATAGCTGAGTGTAAGAGTGTATAGTGATGAACGCTTTTATATCCTTGGCTATTGGCAGTATATAATCACGTATGTTCCTTGTCTCTACTTCAGAATCTGGGGTTGCACCGGCGTATGTATCGGAGCAGGGATCGTTGCTGGCGCCGACCTCTAAAAGACAGTGGACCGAGTACATTTCTGATAAATAAATAATAAAAACACACTTGCGGTTAAAATCGCTAGTGGATTGATTAGTATCGATAAGAAACCTATAATCATTCATTAATTGTGTCCTGAATGCCTGCAATAATCGGCTCAAGGATAGAGAGCATGTCCAGTAATAAACATCATCCTATCCTATCACCGTCCAGGACATCATCTCTATCCTTGAACCCAATAATCACCCATCCATTTGAAATCGAAGTTACGGTTTGCGTCTACGCCATAGCAACCGTTGTTAGGACCTGAACGAGTTCGGCGCCACAGTCGATCCTGATTAAATGAAATAAAACAATTATTCTATTGCAAAACCAATGAAACAGAAACTGTAATTAATTTACGTGTGATGAAGATGATAAGCTCTACAAACCAGGTATATGCGATGATAAACCAAGTTTATGTAAAAATAACCAAAAATATCTCAAGATTAAATCCGTTGCCTCAATGCCAAATTTGGATACTGCAACGTACTACAACAGAAACAGAAAATCTAAACGTAACTAATTAAAATTTGATTACAATAATTACGTGTGTGTGTGAGTATTCATATCCATCTGGGTTGACGACAGGCAAGATGTGCCACTCAATCTGATCCACAAAGTTCTGAACTTGCGAGTTCTCTGCATACTTTGTCAACAACTGTAGAAACGGTCGTTGTACTTGTAGGTATTATATTTTATACATGCCTCTGTGTGCATGATGATAGATTACACATGTCGATGTGACACATGACATTATAGATGTCGAATAGTGACGATAAGAGATCGATAGTCTGTTAACATGCAGCACATACTACCTGCATACTACAGCTGTACCATACTGAACACATTGGAGAAAATGGCACCTCATTTTGTATTTCGACGACAAATGGAAAAGTATTGGAATTAATACAGGATTTACCTTAAGTAATTTGCATAATCGTCATTCACTACTCACAGTATTACTATTTTCAAATATGTTTATATAAAGTAATTTGTAATCACTAAACACAGGCATTTATGTATATAATCTCGCTCTAAACCGCATTTGGCACTCAATTGTATGCATATACTGCCTGCGTATGGAATATATAGATCGATATCATTACGTTATCTGATTAAAAATACAAACAAACACTAAAAATTATTTGTTTTAATTTACTAGTGATTTGATATATAGTAATTAATTTTACGTAATGCCTGCCTGGTGTATAAAGTATTGGTTTGTGGCCATCGATACCCATTCACAGGCATGTATTCCAGAATCGATCCAGATGATGGGCTTTTTACGTCCATTTGGCTTGGAAATCTTGAATATATAATGTAGTTTGGTCAAAATAAAATTTATCGAAGAAATGCACAGTTTTCCATTTGCAAAACTCGATAATCAATTCTTGAAATCAATACGCAGTTGATTATTATTATTATAAAGATCTTAGCGTCCTTATCGTCATTTGGCGCGTAGATTATTGATAGTAAAATTTACCAAAAAGTGACTAGAGAGTTACCAGAACAGCTACATTAGCTAGAGCCACAGACATTACATATTCACGCATACTTGCCATTCGCCCGCATCGTCTTATGACCCGCGAAATAGAGTATGATGCGTTGCCTTGCCTTAATAATGTTCATCGGTAGCCCCAATAAGGACGTTCCAATGTTGTGAATTGAGGCAATATCAGGGTATTTTGAAGCCATAGAACGAATCCAGGCATCTATCTGTCGAAAGCAAAAGAACTAATATATATTCGTAGAATTGATGTCATTACTGAAATTGACGATTTATTATTTAATTATGCATTACAAGTTATCTATGGCTCGTGTAATTGATGGCAACCGTGCGTTCACTCAAGGGAATTTACTCTCCTACGCCTGTTCTAGAATATTTACCTCACCATGACGATGATATATCGTTAGGTTATAATCTGCAGTTTGTTCAGAAACTTGTTTCTCTCGTGCTAGCTTGTCTATTAGCCTATAGTAAAACATCAGTAAGTAAAGGTTAGTTATCGCATATATCACTACGTACCAGTTGATGGCGTTACACATTCTCATTTTAATTGCGCTCGACCAATCATACGGTATGAAACAAATAAATGATAATACAGCTGAGAGTGTCCCGCGTATTTCTTTTACGGAAACAGCTATGGTCGCACATGCGAGGCAGAAAACAATGTACATCCAAAATTCAGTATGAAAACACGCTATGATGTTAACGTTTTTAATAAAGAGGAAGATAGTTAGGAAGATATTGTGCACAAAAACTATTTATGGATGAATATCTAGTTCTGAGGAACCCAATTGCTGTTGTGCCTTACAATGGCAATTGGTTGGGTGAAATTTTGCCTTCTCAAAACAACCTCTGCTGTCAAGCCGACAATAACTTGCGATTGTCATATATTCGCTAAGTTATCTTCCGCATGCATGAAGATGACTCTAGCGTGCTACGGTGTAGAAAGCCAGTCTTGTAATTTACAGAGACCAGTGACTAAAAAAACACATCCTCGTAAGCCTTGACTACAGCACTGCTATGTCAAATACAACATTAACGTTCACGTGATCTAAATACAGTTACAGAAGTAAATACCTCCACGTGCAAGTTTTCAATTCCTTGTGCCCTTGTGTCTTATTTCATAAAATGAAAAAATCAAGTTACAATCGTTATAGAAGGTATCGCTACTTTATCTATCTATCTATCTATCTATCTATCTATCTATCTATCTATCTATCTATCTATCTATCTATCTATCTATTTTATCTATCTATCTATCTATCTATATATCTATCTATCTATCTATCTATCTATCTTATTATCTATCTATCTATCTATTTATCTCCTCTCTTTCTGCCTCTCTATATATAGGGAATAAGTGAAGTAATATATATATATATATATATATATATGTATATTACTTTCCATACCCCTAGATTGTGGTGGTTTGGAAAAACACACTAATGTATACTATTATTTTTACTTAATAATTTTATTTCCCATCACTTATATATAAACACTTGGTCTAAGATGACAAATCTGTCTAATGATGTATAGTTGTGATATGTTTAACTGTCAGATTTAACACTTTATAATTTCCTGTTCTATAAGGAAACATTATTTTGTACGTTAATTGCTGTTTAGCCAGTTACAAAAATAGCGAGTATGGATACAACGACAATGTAGATAAATTTGAAATACAAACATACCGATCGTATTTTACTTGGTATTCAGTCGGACTAGCAATGACAGCAGCAACAAAAAAATAGAGAACAGTAAAGCGACCAGCCATGATGTACACTGGCATTCAGTGTCGTCCGTAGAAAGTACTAGCTGAGGTTATCAAGGTCTGATCATAAGGTTAATAGCAGATATTTAGTCAGTGCGAGAATGTTATTTGCTATCCTACCGTGGACGGACGGTCGAGCTGTAGGATACTACCACATACTAGTTGAATATAGAGTAAGATATAGATTGAGTCTAATCGTGATCTTACTGATATTATTTACATGGCTTTTGCCGATGCTACGTGTTTTATATATTATTCATTTATAGGTTCATGATATCCTAGTGAAATCTGGTCTAATGTACGTGCGTAGGCACAGATGTGTGCGAAGACCAGGTTATCCATATAACATGGATGCAGATATCAGCTCGGTCGCATTGTCGGAATGATCCTCAAATGTACGGAAATGTACGAGACTATAACAAAACAAGTCTATTCCATGTAATATATCACTATACTAGCACCGTACGGCAAGAAACAGCCTATAGCACTCCAACTATGATTAACCTAGCAAAACCTAAGCGTGAAAATTTCTAGCTAGATCACTGATTTAAATAAGAGATAATTGCGCCCGTGTTCATAGTATTTTACTAGTAATTGCACGATAGATTACTGAATACGATTTACTAGATAATGACGACGACGGTGCATCGAACAAAAGAATTAACGAAGAATCGCTAAGCGATTGCTGACTACCTACAGTGAATAGACAAAGCTGAAAAACTAGATTCCGCAGTTATAATCGAGCCCACTCGGCATCAACTATTAATGCATCCTGGGAAAGGTTGATTTGTTATTTTTCTGCGTTGTTTGCGCGTAATTATAGTTATTATTCGTTAATGGTTGTTTATGTTATATTTTTTATTACTCTTGACGTGATGGGCTTACATATGAGCGCAGATGAATGCAAGGACATTGGCCCATCATTATTTAGGCGCATTGTCAGGATAATTGTTTCATATCGTTTCTACGTGCTGCAAGTTTATTCATGATCGAATAATGAGTGACGGCAATTGCCAACCTTTTACTAAACAGGCCATTGCCTCAACAGGTTTGCGCGTTTACTGCTATTACTATGAGTAGCGTTTTATTTCTTGAAACACATTTTCGTTGTCAAAGAGGGAGAATTTTGGTTAGGTTTAAGGTAATAATTAAGGTTTGAGTTATTGTAAGCCGTACCCCAATTGTGATTTTATAATTACAACCACCTGCGTCTTGTTACTCGTCTGTTGCTGTGACGGCAGTAATCGCCCCCTTGTTTAGATTTATTTTACTGGAACAATTTGAACCTCTTTTACTCTATTTATCGTCTCTTTCTTAGTCACTGCCGTCGCGGCGGGTCGAACGGCGGTTTGTACGGCCATTAGTGCGCTCGTTTCGGCGGCCATTAGTGCGTCCGTCTTCGTCGCCATTATTGCGTTCGTCGTCGCCGTCATTATTGCGTCCGTTTGGGCGACGGCCTGGGCGGCCACCAGGGCGGCCATTAGGGCGTCTGCCTGGGCGTCCGCCTGGGCGTCCGCCTGGGCGTCCGTTGGGACGGGGACGTCTTGTAGACGGCTCTGTTGATGGTTCGCTCGCTGATTCCGTCGATGCTTCCGGGGATGTAGACTCGCTCGACGTGGCCGTGGATTCGGTCGTAGTCGCTGTTGATTCGGTCGTAGTCGCTGTTGATTCGGTCGTAGTCGCTGTTGATTCGGTTGTTGCATCTGTACTTTCGGCGACCGTGATTCCTTGAGAGCCAGAGCACTCGATATTGTCCAGGAAGCACGCGTCTCCCGTCTTGGGAAAGTTTGCGTTTCCGGTGCTGCTGTCTATCCAGTCTACGAATTCGGACACCCGCGTGTAGACGCCAGGGAATGTTCTAGAGGCGCATTGAGCTCCCCACGACGTGATGCCGAGCAATGTGAAGCTTTCTTTCTGCACCATAGGACCTCCAGAGTCTCCCTGTTGATACGCGTCAGAAGTAATGGATTAACAACTCTCCCTAATAGACACCCTACTAGAATCACTGCGACATATATACTACCTTTTTATTTACTTACCGTAGTTTGAAATGTATGTCATTATGATTATTTTATTTATTCCTAATTAATTATATATATATATATATATATATATATATATACTTATTTAGTAGTGATTAACGTAGCAAAACTACAAACCTGGCAAGTGTCGTGTGTTCCGTCAGCCTGGGTACACAACATGCTATCAGGTATAGCGCCACGACCATATACATCTTCACATGCGCTATTGGAGATCACCTGGAGGTCCACCAATTGCAAAACATCAGTGTCATCACCTGAATTCATACAATGATATTCAATTAACCATGAGAATGCCTTTTAGTTACGGCTGCGGCTGTTGGTAACATACCAGATTTATCCTTGTAATCGATTATAATATAATATATATATATATTATATTATATTATTTACTTTCTTATAATTTATTATTATTAGCTAGTGCTTCAGTGTGGCCGTTTCCTCCAGGAGCTGCAATGACTCTTTTAGTATTGGAATCAATAGCATTAGTGAATTAATTTTATAATTCATGTAGGTTACTAAGAACAAGTCAAGACCCAGACTGTTCTTGCTTTACCTCATCAAACCGAAGTATTGCGGTACAGTTAAGAAGCGAAACCCACAAATGCAGGTATTTGTTCAGGGCGAGAATGCTAGCACATGTCAGAGTCTCTACGTATTATGCTCGCAACGATTTCCAATATTACAAAGGTTGTATAATATCGGTTTGAAGACAACACTGATTTCGACAATCGCCTGTTCTTTCGCTATTTTTTAACGAAACGACTCATCAGTACTCTTCCATAAGCTATCAGGGCAAACACAAGACAGAATCTTTTATTTTAAACAAGTACCATCAAAAGATCTCCTTTGTCTTACTGTAAAAAAAAACTCGCAGTGAGACCACCTAACTGATAATCAGCCAGCCCAAACAAATATTTCGTTTCATAAAAGCGGAAAGCGAACACGCCTGCGTGCACATTGAGATCGTAGGGCGTTTTGGGAAGCATTAATCATAATGTTTTACACGGCTATTAATTATTACGCATTATTAATTATTACGTTTTACACGGCTATGTAGTATAGGTATTCGGACAAAATTAAGTTCGCGTAAATGCTACTCGTATATTGCCTACTTCCTGTACTTGTCAACACTCCCCAACCACTAGCTGTCACCGTACAGCCAACGCACGCCGATGCCGAACTCTGGGGTAGCGGGGCAGCTTTAGTGTTGGTGTCGCATGTCACTGGCGTGGACAGTTCCAGCAGGGCGATGTCATTCGCGTTGGTCCTTGTATTGTAGCCGGAGTGTCTTATTATACTATCAACCTGTCGAATGTAAATGCGTAAATTAATTATATTGCTGGCTGCAATAGTAGGAATTCAGATCACAATTCCGATTGTAGCGACGTCTAGGTTTTATCGATGTATAGTAAGTATTTATTTAATCACTATTGTTTTTCTCAGACGCCGAGAACACGGCAGTTTGCTTTTGTCTACATGTCTATTGCAGAATGTAGTTTACCTGCATTTCGCAATCTAATTTTTACGCTTTTCTAAAATCTCTGCGTATGGCGCGTGTGTAATATGTGTACACATGTTTGTGTGGATTTCTCTCTTATAGTATTCTGATTTTGTTTTTGATATTGATATTGATATTGATAATTGATATTGATATTTTTATTGATATTGATATTATTATTGATATTGATATTGATATTAATATTGATTTCGATATTGATATTGAAATATGGGGAATACCGACTCACCGTGATTTTAGTTCCGCCGCTCGTTAACGAAGTGCTGCCATGAAGAATCTTTATCCCATTTGGAGTTCGACCCCTGAAATGGATTTATTGGCCACCATTCATATATACATGACGCCAAAGCGCTAAGATCTGTCTTCTACTGATGAGAAATCTTCCTGCCGATTTATGCATTACGTAACATACACTGATGTCCTAATACAAATGTATTTATACAATACACAATTTACAATACAAACCAATATTACTAATTACAAAGTTACAAATTACAACGCGCATGCAGACAGCGTATCACTATTATGTGATATAGCAAAAAGTGTGAGAATAGATAAATAGTAGCATATGTAAAGCAGAATATATCAAAAGAAGGAATGCGATTTTTTTGGAGCATATGAGACGAGATCAAAAGTAGCACATATATATATATATATATATATATATATATATATATATATATAATATATATATATATATAAGTAAGTATATGATCAAGAGAAGTCATGCGATTTTTTTGGAGCGATATGAGAAGAGATCAAAAGAGCATATATAATGTAAGTAGAATTATAAAGAAGTAATGTGAATCGTTGGAACGCATATGAGGCATGTTGATTTTTATAGGGGCGAAACTGAGACCGTTTTTCGAGTTTGAAGCTGAGATATTTAAACGAAAGAGTTTTACTCACACGCAGTGGCGCTGATAAGTACCCACGATGGATGAATCAGGGTACATCCGGCAGAACTGGTGATTCGGATTGTCCCTAAGTAAGGCCACTGAAAGGGAGAAGGGGCGTGTGTGCAGTGCAACACAGAATTAAAGCTGGCACGCATACCATGATAAAAAGTTGACGATGCACGTGGTACAATCTCGCGAATAATGCAGCAGCGATGACTCATTTGGGAAAAACAGCAAAATGCGTTGTGATTAGTACGCCGGGCAAAGGAGATATAAATATATCGATGTTAGTTAGGAACACCAAATTTGTTTGAATTTGGACAGGATACGGTGATCCTTCCTTTATTTTCTCTTGAACAAAGTTGTCCTTCACAAAGCGACATTGAACAGATGTCTGCGCGCCGCGTGCGTGCGTGTGGGTGATGTGTGTGTGTGTGTGTGTGGTGTGTGTGTGTGTGTGTGTGTGTGTGTTGTGTGGTGTTGTCAGTGTGTGTGTGTGTGTCGTGTGTGCGTGCGTGGTGTGTGTGTGTTGTGGTGTGTGTGTGTGTGTGTGTGGGGGGGTGTGTTTTGTGTGTGTGTGTGTGTGGTGGTGTGTGTGTGTGTGTGTTGTGTGTGTGTCCGTGTGTGTGTGTGTGTCCGTGTGTGCGTGGCGTGTTGTGTGTGTGTGTGTGTGTGTGTGTCCTGTGTGTTGGTGTGTGTCGTGTGTGCGTGCGTGTGTGTGTGTGCGTGTGTGTGTGTGTGTGTGTGTGTGTGTGTGTGTGTGTGTGTGTGTGTGTGTGTGTGTGTGTGTGTGTGTGCAACCCAGTAGTCCACACTAGGCTAGAGCTAATCACCTTCTACAAGCTCATCACACCGGCCCCGCAAACGTCACGCATTATTACCCAATATCATCCAATATCACAGCTATCACATCATTCCGAAATGGTACTAAACACAAAATACACGCCACGCCGCCCAAGCTTTTGGAGCCATTATTTAAGTATATTATTTTAATTAAAATGATTCAAGTATATACATTTTAATTAAAATTGTTACAAATATTACGTGTTCTATATATTATTATGAATACCGTATATGGAGCTTCGCATATCTCGGCGTCCTCACCTCCAATGATTCTATACTGAACGTTCGGAACATCTACAAAGATAAGGGACCTTACTACAAGTCTGGATGTGTGATGACAGTGTGTAGAGATGAGCAGTTAATTTAAATCCTTCCCGCGCCTATGTGGCGCACAGGGCGGTGCCCATCTCCTGTTCCTTAACCCGAAGCCACGCAGCTGCTTTCACAGTAAATACTACAGCGGGGGTTAGTCCACTGGTAGCACTGCGAGTTAACTTTCCATGCTCTATCTCTATTTGCTGAGTGCTGATGCAGTGTGTACCATTTTTCAAGTCCAATAAAAACCGATAAAAAACGAAAAAAAGCAACGTAGGGAGCACATTTATTAATCGTATGTGAAAAGAAGTGAGGTGAAACAAATTGATTTATTTATATATGCGTGTAGATATCAGGAGTGTAATATATAGATTAATTATCAATAATGTATGTGTATAATATAGATTAGGAGTGTAAAATCTACTTATACACGTCTGAAGACGTGATGACAAATAACGTTTCAACAATGTACAGTTACAGTAACAGTGTATATTGAGAGAGAAAACAGGACGAGGGAAACACGACGATGTTGCACATACGAGAGAGGTAAAACCGCGAAAGACGAGTGACATTCGTTCTTTGTGCTGTCAAAATACTACTGCTTATGATCTACTTAACTTATCTTAGTTCTAATCCCGTCTAGTAATACATTGGATATAAATTGACGTTAGTTCATTGTGTATTCATAAAATGTTATAAAATGTAAATAATGTAAATTAAAATAATATAAATGCATTGATTCCTTTCGGTAAAATCGTGATAGAATATGGCAGTGTAAACATACGCATACATCACAATTTTTACAAATTGACAAATGCACATACTACCAGAAGTGAAATAAAACCACAATGTTTGTATCCACTCATACTATAACTATACCTCCATTTCCATAACATGGCTGCGTCAACTTTTGCATTATAAAATGCTTAAAAATAGTTTATCAATTATAGACGAATATTAACTTTACTACCAGACGCCTAGCCCAAAAAAGTTTAGCATGAATATTTGTTTGTTTCATAGAGTCATGAATATAAACTGTCACCCCACCTTCCCTAACAAAAAATCGCACATAATATTAACTTCCTTTTAAGGTAATAACTTCCTAGTAAAATATACGAAATTGAAAAAAAATCCATACGATACCAGTCGATTCTGCCAATTTTTGAATCTGGTTCCGGATTCTGCGCGAAATCCCACGCCTAGGAAGGCGAAGCCAGACGTCAGAATCTCCGCGCAGTTCAACAAGTATCACAAAGAACAGATACGCTACTAGCTGGCCCTTCATCTGAAATAGAAACAAGCACACAAGCATACACGCACACACACACGCACGCACACACACGCACGCACGCACACACACACACACACACACACACACACACACACACACACACACACACACACACACACACACACACACACACACACACACGACTACTAGTACGTAGTTATTATTTACTACTAGTCGTAGTAGTAGTACGTCGTACTACTATTATTACGTTAGTTACGTTAACTTAATAATTAACTTACTTAA